CACCTCACAGTTCCCACCTCCCTCCCCTTTATTTCTTTGCCTTTTATTACTCATTGCTGAGTTACTTCCACCTCATCCTATTTCTCCTGTTTCTTCTAACTCTTGCCAAGTTACTGCAGGGAAGAAACACTAGCTCTTTCGTGTTCCCCCCTCCCTATGAACAAAGAATCTCTGTTATCCCAAATCCCTCTCATACAAATAATATTAGTGAAAATGTGCTATGTTTAAATGTGGAGAAAAGAATGGTGTTGAGTCATTGATATCAGTCTCTGAAGCTTCTGAAAATACACACAAGTTCCTTTCTGAAGTGTTTCTTCCAAAGCATCTAGTTGAGATAAAAAGATTTAAAAGATTTTATTTCTTGTTTAGTACAAAAAATACCCTTTACTATTGGATATTTTTCTCAGATGTAACCTACTTGAACCATAGAATTGATTAGACATTCTGAGTTCCAAGTGAGCAAATTCCACAGAAATTTTTGAATGTAATATAGTTCCAAAATGAGGACATATCTTATAAAATATAGTTCAAAATGAATACGACAAACATATCTATCATATGAATTGAAAGGAGAGAGAGAGCTGACAGAGAGACAGAGAGTTGAAAGGCTTGGGAAAATTTTTGTGCAGAAAGTTGAACTTGAGCTGGACTCTAAGACTTAAACATTATTGTGGGAGATAGGAGTTAAAATGGTAATTCAAGCTGGGTAAAAACTGTCAGCAAACACGTATGTGATTGAAAAGCTATTTCTTCTTTTATTTTAAAGATTTATTTATTTATTTATTTGAAAGTCAGAGTTACACAGAGAGAGAAGGAAAGGCAGAGAGAGAGAGAGGGGTCTTCCATCCGCTGGTTCACCCCTCAATTGGCTGTGATGGCCAGAGCTGCACAGATCCGAAGCCAGGAGCCAGGAGCTTCTTCTGGATCTCCCACGTGGTTGCAGAGACCCAAGGACTTGGGCTATCTTCTACTGTTTTCCCAGGCCATAGCAGGGAGCTAGATTGGAAGTGGAGTAGCTGGGACTGGAACCAGCACCCATATGGGATGCTGGCACTGCTGGCGACAGTTTACCCACTATGCCACAGCATTGGCTCCGGAACAGAGACTTCTAATGGAGGAGAAAAGGAGGTATTAAATCACAGTTGGGCCAATTTTTTAAATGTTTTAAAATTTCACGTTAAGGATTTTAGTGGATTTTCTTTCATAAACAATGGAAGTCTATTGGAGGTTTTGGAGGATCGTAATGAGTTCAACAGAGCAGGTTTTAAAAATTTCCCTTCCTGGTGATGATAGAGGAATTGGAAGGTAAGCAGACCATATAGGATACCATGTATGACCACATTTTTATGAGATGCCAGGGATCTGGGATAGTGTGATGGAAATGTAAAACAAGGGAACTATGGTACATGCTTCAAACTCAATGCAGTGTAATCTTAGTTTAAGAGAGGAGATGAAGGAAAATAATACATCAGAAAGGACAGTGAAGTTTTAGGCTGGGGGCTTGGGTGAGAGAGAGAATGATAGATACACCTGAGAGCAGAAACAGGGAAGTCAGAAAGGAAATTGAACAGATGGGAGGAAGGAAAGAGGTGATAAGTACGTAGGGTTCAAGGCTGCCAATAGAAATTTAATGTGAGCTACATAGTCATTTGAAATTTTAAGCAGCCACCTTCAAAATTATAAAAATAAATAAGTGAAATTATGTTTAACTATGGTTTATTTATCTTGATATATTCAAAACATTATTTAGCATCTAACCAATATAAAAGTATTATTAGATACAGCTTACATTCTTTTTTCACACTAAGTCTTTGATATCTGTTGTATACTTTATGTTTACACAAATCCCAATTAACTAGCTACATTTCAAATACTCAGTAGCTGCCTGAGGCTGGTGGCTACCATATTGGACAACATGTTACTAGACATTTAATTGAACTGTCAAATATTATTTAGTAAGTTTCTTAATTAAGCTGGTGCTTAATTAAGACTCACTCTACTTTGGAAATTGTAATTATGTAAATCCTTTCTCTACCCCTCTTGTTTATTTTAGCTATTTCATATTAAAGATATTCTTTTAGTTGAATATCATTCTTTCCCCAAAGCACCAGAGTTTTTTTTTTAATATTCATGATATAGTATTTCATTGTTCGGAGTTGCTGCTCTCATTTAATTCTTTATTTGACTTGTAACTTTAATTAAATCAGTCTGAATACTCTCTCTTCCTACTTTGTCAGTCTTTGATTATGAAATAACTTAGCAATGTGTCCTTAAAAACCTTGGGTAAATGACATTTAGAGCTTTGGAAATGAATACTGCATTTCTTGTGTTCCCTTGTCTGCATTTGTGTGTATCTTGCCAGTATTTAATATCTGAGTTAAACTTGGTGGATTTCAGTCTTTACTATATGCTAAAGAATGCAGTACAAAAGGGAGTGTACTTCTATAGGAAACAAGCCAAGGACATTGTGTTCCATCTTTACAATGAAATGCAGATTTCCCACTAAAAGGCAAATCCATCATTTCAAAAGGTTGAATAGAATGATGCATTAAAAAAATCCAGCTGCTTAAATTTAGGGCATTGAAAAACATCCAATAAAAAAATGTTCCCTGGGTCTCAAACATTTTCATTTGATTATGTATTGGATAGATTTTCATTAAATCTAGAATCTTATGTCCTAAAATAGTTTGACAAGTATTTTAAACAAGTTGGATTCAACTATAATACTTTATTGACTTACATTATATACTTTATTATTTAGAATATCTTTGTGATTGTTTGTATATTATTAAGTTTTATTCAAGAAACATTAGAATCTTCTTAGAGTACTTTGCTTTTTCATGTTGGGTTTCTTTTATGTTTTTGTTTTCATCCTTGTTTTTTCATTGGAGACCTTATCTGCAAGACAGTCATTTTGGTCTCCAATCAGCTTCCTTCAGTTTTTTTCCATCATCTATCTTACTCTGACCTATCTTTTATGGTCAAATTGAGGGCCACCTTTTCACTATTACAGTGTGTTCTGCCCAACTTTTCCCTGACTAATTTTGGAGTAAGAAGTGGCAAAGCCATGATTTGCTCTGCAATACACCAAGATGCCCACAAACTGGCTTGGAAGCACAGAATTCTGCTTTATACTGCTGGGCCTAGCCATAAATTCTCAAGGTAGTGTTCTCTATGCTTTGGTGCCAAAACATTTAAGTCAAGCATATCTGTATGGGGCATGTATTTTTTGCAGGCATTAACAATCACTTATTGAAAGTCAAGTCTAAGTCTCCATGCTCTCCTCCTCTGCAATCTAGACATGCTATTTCTCAAGACTAGCACCACAGAGGTAGCCTGTGACCATACAGAGGGCTACTGTTTAACAAGGCTGTGCTAACAGGCCCCTGGTAATAAGTATTGACTAGGCTTCCCAAGCTATTTGACTTTCTCTTGTTACACTGGTTCTCAGGCAGTTATACATATGATAATATTGCCCCTGTCAATCCCTAAAAGTAAATGTTTCCAATAATTCTTTGGCATCCAATACATTTTACTAACGCCACTTGGTTTCTGTTTGCAGACCTCACCTCTCCAATGCCCGCATTCTTCCTAAGGAATTGTTAATTTTTAGAAAAGAATCCATTCTAGCTAATATCCATTCATTTCTAAGAGCAAAGACCAGTGTAAGCAAATAATGAAGGATAGAATTCAAAGGGAGAGAATGATCCTGCGGGGGAAGCAGGACACACAGCAGACTCATAGAATGGCAAACACCCCAAACAGCACTCCGGCCTCAGAATCAACCGTTGGGGCATTCGGATCTGGCTAAAAGGCCCATGAGAGTCTCACAGGCATGGAAAGCCATGACACAGTGGCAAAAACAACCTAAATGAAAGATCCTAGTGAACAAGACCCCAGCAGAAGGAACAGGCCATCAAGGAGGGAGGCGCCTTTCTCTGAAGGGAGGAAGGAGCCTCCACTGTGATATGGCCTTGACTAAACAAGTTCAGAGTTGGTGAACTCAAGGGGCTTCCATAGCCTAGACAGCTCATGGCAAGAGCCTCAGGTGATTGCTGACATCATAAATAAGAGTGCCAACTGTTAAATCAACAACGGGAGTCACTGGGTACAGACTCCCCATGTAGGATCTCTGTTCTTAATGTGTTTTACTATGAAACATAAAGACAACACTACTAGTCGAACAATACCCTATACCTTGAGCGGTTGTGTGAGGGCAGCCTGTTGAAATCCTTGCTTAGTGTATACTAAGTTGATCTTCTGTATAGAAGGTAATTGAAAATGAAACTCGATGAAGGGTGGGATGGGAGAGGGAGTGGGAGAGGGGAGGGCCACGGGAGGGAGGGAGGTTGGGAGGGGGAGCCACAACAATACAAAAGTTGTACTTTGTAAATTCACATTTATTAAATAAAAAAAGAGCAATGATTTTGTGAATAATTCTGTTTCTAGACTTATATTTTACTCTAGACCCTGAAGAGGGAAGCATTTCTGTGCTTTATCATGGTTTATGGGGGGTATTTCATACTGGGGTCCTTGTGCTTCCACTCCTCTGCCAACACTGGCTATCAAAACTGCTTAGGCTGCAAATAAAACATGAAATGAAATCCATCTGGCATTTCTCATTGAATTAGGACCAGAACATTTTTGTTAAATATTAACAGATGTCTAAATTCTTAATATCAAACTAACATTTAAAAACATCTAAGGGGACCCACATGAGGAGGGCCATGTGTTTTCTCCATCTCCCAGCCTTTCCTGTATCTGACCCCCACCATCACCACCACCCCGTTTGTCCTACCCATGTGTTGAGAATGACTGGAGCCACCTATCTCTGTAACTCTTACTCCTTGGTAGCTGGTATCAAAGTGTTTGATGGTATCAGGATAGTGTATTCAAGTGTGAGCCAACTCAAGTGATATGTTGCCTCTGGCATGTTTCCAGGTCTTTGATTAAAGTCAATTTCTCTATCTCCATCTCCCTCTCTCCCTCTCTCTCTCTAGGAAAAAGAAAAGAAGTACATGCTTCCCTTGGACAACCTGAAAGTCCGGGATGTGGAAAAAAGCTTTATGTCTAGCAAACACATCTTTGCACTCTTTAACACAGAGCAAAGGTAAGAAAATGAAGCAGTTTCTATTTTCAATTGCTGTTCCTTGAATTTCTATGTGACCTAGAGATCATATTTGCAAATGCTTCCTTTCGTCACCCTTTAAAATTTGTCACCCCTTCAGTTGTTTTTTTAAGTTATTTTGTATTTTTAACTTTCACCATGGTTATCCTGTCAAAATATTAAAACTTAGAATGAGAGAGATCTTCAAGAATTAGTTTATTTCCTGTTTTTTTTTCATAAATCATCAAAATTATGTTGTATGCTTTCTTCAAGCTAGATTTTATAACCTGAACGTCTTCCTTTTCCTGATTTAGTGATCACATACTTACACATTACTGAACTGTAATTTCAACAGTACTTGTCTAATATGAGTGAATGTAACTCAAGGTCTTCTTAAGGCCTCTATGTCATGACTAAATTCACTGAATAAAATTATTCAGTTAATGTGAAGAAAAATATATAGCACCTTACAGTATTTCAAAGCACTATCCACATTCATTGTTTTTGATCTTTATAACAATTGCCCAAGAGATTAAAAATATGGAGTGGCATGGTTTTATAGATTAGTAGAAGTATAGGCTCAGAGGGTTTAGCTGACTTTCATACCATCACACAACTAATCATGGCAGAGCTGAAACTGGAATTAGAACTGTGTGTAAATCCACTTTTACTTCCATTCATATTTTCTGCGGGCGTTTTTCTTTTTTTTTCTCCTTTGCTTATGTACAGTATCAAAACTTTATTTTTAGACTGATCATCATGGAATGCTGTGGTTGCTCATTGAAACTAAGTATACAAGTTAAATAAGCCAATGGAGAGAGAACAGAGGATGGGATATAGAGATGTATACTGGCTACAACTGGGCAAGGACAATAAAGGAGATTTTCTTCCAAGTGCAGATGTTATGGGAACAATCTAATTTGTGTGAGCAAGTTGTTAAGAGAATAAGTCACAAAGTGTCAGAGTCTGATTTTAACCTATTTTCTCAGGCAGACTTTTATCTTTATTTAGCATAGAATGAAGTTCTTGATTAGATTCAGTGACTGGCCCAGGGTCAGTCACATAGTAAATGAAAATAGCAAAGGAAGAACACTTGTTCCCACATTCCCAGTCAGTTGCTCAGAATGACTCATAATACAAAAATACTTGGAAAAACCACAAGGCAAGCCTCTTCAAGAATCAAAGGTGAATCAAATTAAATACAATTCCTGTATCAAATATTGAAGTGGAATCTTTCAAAGACTTAGTATCTTTTGAGTGTAGCTTATGAAAAGGAAAACATTGAAACTGATAAAGAATGAAGAAGTTCCCCAGAGAAAGCAGTAGAGATTGCAACATGTCAAAGCCAAGCCAAGTACTGTTTATATGCTTTTATCAGAGCACGGAGAACCAGAGATCCCAAGGTAACTGTCTCAGGCATCCTTAGCCTTCTTGCTCAGACATGGAGTGGCACAAATGACTACCAGACAGGAAGTCACCCTTAACACAATCTTCATGAAACAAAGACAAGACAATGATAGTCTTTCTAGATAAAATACAACTGTGGATTTCAAAAGAACAAAAGTCACTAAAATACAATTTTGAACTTCTAAAAAAATCTAGATAGCCTAGAATCTTGTAGGACTAAAGTGACATTGAGTTCTTCAACTACTTCTCAGAGACTTCTGTGAGCACACACTGGTCCCTATAGTTGCATTTGTCATTGATTTTTTTCCTTTGAAATCTTGATTCCTTTCAACTATTTTTGTGCTGTATATGACCTCCAGTACAATGTTGAATACAAGCAGGCATCCTTGTCTTGTTTCTGATTTCAATAAGAATTTTTAGGGGCTGGCGCCGTGGCGCACTAGGTTAATCCTCCGCCTGCTGCGCTGGCATCCCATATTGGCGCTGGGTTCTAGTCCCGGTTGCTCCTCTTCCAGTCCAGCTCTCTGCTGTGGCCAGGAAGGCAGTGGAGGATGGCCCAGGTGCTTGAGCCCCTGCACCCGCATAAGAGACCAGGAAGAAGCACCTGGCTCCTGGTTTGGGATCGGTGTAGCTCCAGCCGTTGGAGCCATTTGGGGAGTGAACCATTGGATGGAAGATCTTTCTCTCTGTCTCTCTCTTTCACTGTCTGTATAACTCTACCTGTCAAATAAATAAATAAAAAATCTTTAAAAAAAGAATTTTAAAAAATATTTTAGCTAATTACTTTTGGGGAGAGATCTAATAACAGATGAAAAAGAGTCCTTGTGTTCTTAGTTACCAAGGTTTTTATTTTCATTTTAAAACATGGATAGGTATTGAATTTTATCAATATGTGCACCTAGAAGAGTATGGAATCTGTTTCTTCTTTATTCTGTTCATGTGCTGAAATATACTGATAGACCTATTAATTTAAACCATCTTTGGTTTCTTGGGATTAGATCTAGTTCAGGCATGATAGACTTTCAGTTATGGTGTGTTCCTGGCTTATGTTTCCATTTTATTTAGACTTTTGAGTTTATGCTCTAAGGTGATATTGACCCATAAATATCCTTTTGTGTACTCTTTCTTGGTTTTAATATCGACGTTTGGGTGGATGTTATGGTTCAGTAGGTTAAGCTGCCTCTTAGGATGCCCTCATGCTATATCATAGTGCCTAGTTCAACTTTGGGCTACTCTGCACTTCTCATCCATCTTTCAGCTAATATGCTTTAGAGACAGTGGATAATGGCCGAAGTACTTGGGTTCCTGCCAGCCACATGGGGGACCTGAATGGAATTCCCAACTGCTGGCTTCCACCTGGCCTAACTCTGGTTGTTGTGGGAATTTGGGGAATGAACCAGAAGATGGAAGATCTCTCTCTCTCTCTCTCTCTCTCTCTCTCTCTCTCTCTTTCTCTCTCTCTGAATCTGCCTTTTAAATAAATAAATCTTTGAAAAAATAATATCAAATTTGTGTTAGCTTCATAAATTGAGGTGTGAATAAGTCATTATTATTCTTTGGAATATTCTCTTATAAAATAAGGATTAACTGTTAATTAACTATTTTATGGAAGTCATTACTAAAATCATCTGGATCTGGAAGGTATTTTTGGTAAATAGAATTTTACCTAGTGATTTTAATATATATAATAATTATAGGTTTGTTCAGTTTTCTGGTTTTTCTATAAATCAGTTTGGATAAATTGTATTTTTAGAAAATTATCTATTCCATTTGCTTTAAGATATATTAGCATCAAATTTTTTAATATTTCTATTTTTAAAAATCTATTATATCTGAAATTAAACCCTTTTATTTCTAATATTAACATTTGTCATTTTCCCCCATGACCACTGTTTCCAGAGGCTTTTATATTTTCAAAAAATAAGTTTTTGTTTTTTTTTTCATTATCTAGTGTGTATAATTTTTCTGTCTCAATACATTCTGCTGTTTTTTTCATTATTTATTTTCTTTATGTTTATATTATTGTTCTTTTCCCCTTAACTTTTTACTTTTGATGGAGGAAATTTTTTAAATTGTATTTAATGTATACAAATTTCATGTATTTACTATATACAGATTCAGGAACATAGTGATACTTCCACCCTACCCTCCCACCTACTTGTGCTCCCACTCTTCTTCCTTGTCCCTCTCCTATTATCATTCTTAATTTTTACAAAGATCTATTTTCAGTTAACTTTATACTCATCTGATTAACCCTACATTAAGTAAAGAGTTCAACAAATAGTGTGAAGGAAAAAAAAAAACTATTCTTCAATAGTGGAGACAAAAGATGTAAAATATCGTGGAATCTCAAAATGTCAATTTCACTCCTAAACGTTATCTTTTAGATACTACTAGTTACCACAGATCAGAGAAAACGTGGTATTTGTCTTTTTAGAATGGGCTTATTTCACTAAGTATAATGGTTTCCAGTTGTATCCATTTTGTTGCAAAGGACAGGATCGATCGATTTCTTTCCTTCCTTCCTTCCTTCCTTCCTTCCTTCCTTCCTTCCTTCCTTCCTTCCTCTCTCTCTCTCTCTCTCTTTTACCACTGTGTGATATTCCATAGTGTACATATACTGTAATTTCTTTATGCAGTCATCAGTTGATAGACATCTGGGTTGATTCCATATTGTAGCTATTGTGAATTGAGTTGCAATTAATATTAGGGTACGGCTCACTCTTTCATATGCTGATTTAATTTCATTTGGGTCAATTCCCAGGAGTGGAATGGTGGGTCGTATGGTAGGACTATATTCAGATTTCTGAATTTTCGCCATACTGTCTTCCACATTGGCTGCACCAGTTTACATTCCCACCAACAGGAGACCAGGGTACCTTTTTCCCCTCATCCTTACCAGCATTTATTGTTTGTTGATTTGTGTATGAGAGCCATTCTAACAGGAGTGAGGTGAAACTTCATGGTGGTTTTCATTTGCATTTCCCTGCTAGTTAGTGATCCTGAGCATTTTTTTCATATATCTGTTGGACATTTGGATTTCCTCTTTGAAAAATGCCTGTTCAAGTCCTTTGTCCATTTCTTAACTGGATTGTTTGTTTTGTAGTTGTTGAGTTTCTTGAGCTCTTCATAGATTCAGGATATTAATCCTTTATCAGTTTCATAGTTTGCAAATATTTTCTCCCTTAACTGCCCTTTAGTATGTCTTAAAATCTGGTATTGTGAAGCCTCCAGCTTTGTTTTTGTTGTATGAAGGTGCTTTAGAAATTCAGGGTCATTTGTGTTTCCATATGAATTTTAACATTGATTTTTCTAGATCTGAGAAGAATGTTGTTGGTATTTTTTTAGTATCACATTCAATCTGTAAATTGTTTTCAGTAGTATGAACATGTTGATTATGTTAATTCTAATCTGTAAACATGGAAGATTTTTTCTATTTTTTTGTGTCTTCCTCTATCTCTTTCTTTAATGTTTTGTAATTTACATCATAGAGATATTTTTTTAAAAAATATTTATTTATTTATTTGAAAGTCAGCGTTACACAGAGAGAGGAGAGGCAGAGAGAGAGAGAGAGAGAGAGAGAGAGAGAGGTCTTC